CCTTCTCAGCCCGGTCCAGCCACTCAACGAGCTCACCAATCTATGCTGAGCCCACGATCTCCTCAACCTTCGCGGGGCCGCAGTGCCCCAGGATCTCCCGTGCCCCAGCTTGGGGAGCCCAAAGCCAAGGAATTTTCTTTCCTGTTGCGCCCTGAGATATACCATCCAATCACACCATTGAATATACCTGTGGCATTCCGGAATTCACCCAAGCAGCCCGGCCCGGAAATCCCACTCGAGGAGCTGCTCGCCAAAGGCCACTTCCGAGCTGCAGCAGTTGCAGCAGTCCAGGAGCTGACTGGACTAGGCGCGACTGGGGGAATTGATCCTCACGATTCCCAGAGGATCTTTCGTTTACTATATACACGGCTTGCCTGCCTAACGTTGATTGACGCCACGTCGCTTGCGGCTCAGGAAGTCAAGGCGTTGGAGGATTTAAATAATGTACGAGTCTACGTTGACGAGGCTACCGGAGAGCACCTTGTTCCCTGGGAACTCCGTGTACTCAATGTGAGGCTCCAGGCACTTGGATTTGGGGATACGCGCCGCGCTGTCATGAGCTATCACGACCTGGCACGCGAAGCCCGGGCTCGAATAGTGAAGTCCACGGCTTCCCACGACAACTCTGCGACCGAGCTTTGGAAGTCCCGGCTGGCAGACCTTGGCATCAAGGTGGCTGGCGCCTTGATCGAAATGGGCGATGTTCCCGGGGCAGCGAGTCACCTCGAGGGTCTGCGGGACAGAGGAGAAAGCAAGCTGATATTCTCCAAGGCTTTGCTCTTGCTTCATTTGGGAGACACGGAGCGGGCAAGGGCCTGCGCCCAAAAGTGCACCGAGGATCAGGCTCTTACCAACAAGATCATTTTGGCTCTCTGCGACATGGCAGATACTGAGTTCGAAGCAGCATTGGAAAAGTGGCAGGACCTTCGACTCGAGCACGATGATGAGATGATTGGCGTCAACGCTGCTGTTTGCCTGCTCTATTTGGGTAGGCTTCAAGATGTGAGCACCCGCCGTTCCAACGTGATTATCTGGCCTGTCTGATCTAACATATATCCAGAGCCGAGATGTTCTTGAGGGCCTTGTCGGAAAGGGACTCTCTTCACACACCTTACTATTTAATCTCTCGACGGTTTATGAACTGTGTACGGAAAAGCATAGAAACATGAAGACAAAGCTTGCGGAACGTGTGGCGGCATTCGACGAGACTCCATCAGGATGGGAGAAGACGACTGCTGACTTCAAATTGTAGATGGCATAATGCAGGCCAGAGGCCATGGCTACATGGCTAGGACACAGCCTCGGCTCCACGATAAATGGATGGGATAAAAATCCCTATTCGTTTAAGCTAATCCGATATGTCTAATGCAACCATATTTCTGCATCTGTGTAGTGCTAATTGCTCCGTGGGACTTCCGCTGCTGGCCCCCTCGTTCTCCGTGGGCATTGTCTGTGGGGGAACCGCAACCGCGGGGAACCTCGGCATTACGCTACTGCGTGAGCACTCTTAGCTCGGCTGCAAGTGAGTCGAAGGTGTTGTAAATATATAATAATAGATTTGGACATTAAAGTTAGTCCCATATTATATCTGGTCCGTTAACATTCGAATCAATACCTCTCTTTATTTGCTATATTAGCTACGCCCTGCTTGTATTTCCATCTAGCGCTGTACCTTGATTCCCCTGCTCATCATGTCAGACCGCGTGTCACAGCTTGCCAGCCAGCTAAACTATCCCCGTGGCCTGTTGGCTGGCCAGGTCGCCATCATCACGGGCAGCGGCCAGGGTATTGGCGCGGAGGCGGCGCGTCTGTTCGCCAAGGAGGGCGCCAAGGTGGTCGTTGCGGACATTGACGAGAGTGCGTGTGGCTAGCCCTGGGTGTGAATCGTAGTATCGCAATACTGACAGATCCCAGAGAAATGCAAGGATGTGGCCGACAGCATCAACTCCTCGGGCGGAAGTGCTCTCGGCGTGCCTGGCGATATCCTGAAGCGGGACTATGTAGACTCTCTCATCAAGAAGGCTGCGGATTTCGGTAATGGCAAGATTCACATCATTGTCAACAACGCCGGCTACACCTGGGACGGCGTCATCCACAAAATGACCGACAAGCAGTGGGATACCATCATCGCCCTTCACTGCACTGCGCCGTTCAATCTCGTCCGTGCGGCCGCACCCTACTTTCGAGTCAAGGACGGTGAACCTCGCAACATTGTCAACATCTCCTCTACATCTGGGGTGCATGGGAACGCTGGGCAGCTCAACTATGCGCTCGCAAAGGCTGGCGTCACCGGTTTCACCAAGACGATTGCAAAGGAATGGGGCCCAGCTTTTGGCGTCCGTGCCAACTCCATTGCCTTTGGACATATCCTGACCCGCCTGACAGCAGCCAAGGAAGAGGGTGCTTTCGTCACAGGACCTGATGGGGAGAAGATTGCGCTGGGCATTCCGATCAAGCAGAAGCAGGCTGCTGGAGACGGGGCATACGCAGATATTCCACTTCGACGGCCGGGCAGTGCCACGGAGGCGGCCAGCAGCATCCTGGCGGTTGCCAGCCCGCTGTTCTCTTACGTATCAGGGCAGACTATCATGGTGACTGGTGGAAGGAATATGTAGACCCTGGTCAATTGGGATAGCACTAGAAAACATGTATATGTAGTCGATTCATGAGGAGACATAGGTGAATGCAAGTAATATGACATGAAGATGGCCCTTGGCAAAAAAAAGGGGGTAATGTGTTCTCTGATTATATAGTATAGGTCACCCAAACGCCCCATTCGTCATTATCAACCTCCATCGTATGTAGCATTGTCCATGCTCATACCTTCAGCCACAGGCTGAGAACGCCCTTGGCATACTCGACGATCTCGTCACCACCGAGCTTGCTCTCGCCATAGACTCGATCGACGAACGAGATGGGAACCTCGGCAACGGAGCAGCCCATAGCCTTGGCCCGCACCATCATTTCCATCTGGAAGGTGTAACCCTTGCTCTCGGTGCTGGAGATGACCTTTTCCAACACGCTCTTCTTGTATAGTCGGAAACTGCCCGTCAGGTCACTGACACCGGGTCGCAGGACGGTATCGGCGAAGAGGTTTGCGCCGCGGCTGACGAATTTGCGCTTGAGGTCCCATCCATAAACACCACCATTGCCAGCGTAGCGGGTCCCAGTCACGATATCGAAGTTGCCAGTCTTCTGGGTGGCAATCATCTGGGGGATGAACTTGGGGTGGTGGCTGAAGTCGGCGTCCATGATAATGACAAAGTTGCCGGTCACGAACTTGAGACCGTGGACGTAGGCAGTGCCGAGACCGAGCTTGCCAGCACGAGGCTTGAGGACAACGTGGGGGCTGTATGCCTTGATGAGTTGATTGGCGACCTCTTGGGTGCCGTCGGGCGAGCCGTCGTCGACAATGATCAGTTCCCAATCGAGCTTGCTGTGCTTCAGGTCAAAACATTATTCCCGGGAGACTCGAGGACATGAACTCAGGGTTCAAGTTGGGCTCTGACTTACTGCTCTGTGAACGTACGGTTCAGCAACCAGGCCACAATGGGGAGATTGCGTCGCTCATTGTAGGTGGGTAGAATGACGGAATATTTATCCTTGGAGGTAGCCTTTGCGGGAGCCATCTTTGCAAAGTTTGGGAAGGCGTGTTAGGTCAAATGAGTGTATGATAGTTGGCTATTAAATGTGTCGAAATGTAGCCGCTCGCTTTACTGATAGACACGTTCCCCCTGGCTTCGAGCTCGTTGTAGCTAGTCCCTGACACTTGTCTGGATACACCCCAGTTTACTCAAGCGTCACGTGCTTTCGCGAAGGCGACTCTTATCGATAAGGCCGACAGCTTCCTACCTTACCTCAGCTAATGCTAGCTTTCTTCCATCATGCAATAAATCAACGTGGTAGGAGAGCCCAGAGAATCCATATGGCATCTTGGCGATCATGAGCTTGTGCATGGCTTGTCATGTGCTGGATGCCCCCAGGGCCTCGATTGGTTGCTACTCCCTTCGTTTCGGTCTCCCCGCGTCCTCAGCCTTCCTTTTGTAAGCGGCCAATGCGGCATACATACTTTGGCGGGGCGCATCTGATGATGTGCTACATTAATAAGGTACGCCTTCCCCACATCACATCAGCGTCTCGATCGATCGCGGAAGGTCTACTGGACAGCGAATCATCAGCAGGTCTTTTGTGTTCGCTGACTGTCGCCTATGACAGGAGCCAATTAGAATCGATATGGCGAGGTGAGGTGACCAGTTTTCTTGCCCGGATCTGGAAGTGGAAGACTGGGTGAAACCTTCATCATTGCCCTACAATCCTACGATGCCATGTTTCCGATCCTCGGGCTGATGGGTCTTGTTATGGCTTCTGTGGCGTTCGCTGCGAGCGGTAAACTCAAAGTAGCAAAACCCCAGTGTCACCTCCTCTCCCTTAGCTACGTAGTGGTAGATGTATATGTTTATCCGAAGGGCCATGAGCGCTGGTCTGTGGAACTGGTGGCCCCCCTCAACTTCCCCGGTCTGGGTCCAGATCTGAGTCCAATGTTCATGTTTGATGCTCACCCACCTCACCTCTCCTCTCCCTGCTCCAGCTCCTCTCTCCAAACTGTACAGCTCCTGGGCTCTGCCATTGCCCATCTCTCACGAATCTGAGCCGATCTACCTCCCTGCGCATTCCCAGCCTCAATCACATCGCCAGCCGCCCAGCTGCGTACACAGTCGCGAGTGCTCTAATCGCTACCCCAGCTCTTACGTCATCACGCGTACCGTCGCATCATGACCGAAGTCGCCCCATCCTTTGACAAAGGCAAGTGTTGCGCCCTCATGCCTGTCAGTTGTGATTTTACGAGGTGCTTTGGTTGAAATTGTAGAACGTTCAAGGCGCGGGATGAGTCCTGAGATGATGCCCTTCCAACCACTAACCGCCTTGTAGTTGGCCCCGAGTCCTCCGCCGGAGGACCGAATGGAAGACCGCCTAATTTCGTGGCTGCCGTGACTACAAAGATGGCCCAGCAGAATCACCTGTCAGATGGACCAAGCCATCTCGGCGTGGCCCCGAAACCTGTCGAGGTGACATCTGTTCCGGAGACGCCTGTCAATGGCGCCCAGACTCCCGTCGGAGGAACACCCCGGCCTGAGCTCAAGATCACTGAGGACGAGCCTGAGAAAAAGGAAACCCCGAAGGAAGCGCCGGTGATTCTTGGGCCCAGTACCGAGAAGAAACCCTCGGCCCCAGAACCGGTGTCGGACGTAGGCGGCCCGGATCATTCATCATCAAAGCCAACGGCTGGCGCAACAGAGATGGGCGACTCAACGCCCGTGGGCGAGAAGCGCAAAGTTGAGGAAGAGACGAAGCCTGCGACCAAGGACGAGCCTGAGGAACAGGCCAAAGCATCCTCAGAACACAACGAGGAGAGGCCTGAGAAGAAGGCCAAAGTGACGGATAAGATCGTCGACGCAGTGGAAGATCTCAAGGAGAAGGTTGAATCCAAACTTCAGACCAACGGGAAGAAAAAGCCTGGCAGGCCAAAGAAGGATAAGAGTGCACCGCCGGCAGTTGGCAAGACGCAGCGCAAGACGCGCAGTCAAGGCCCCATCGAGTAGCATTCTAACAACATGCCTTGGAAGAAGGAAAAGCGAGTACGGCCATGGACATGTATCTAGTGTTCCGTCTACGTTATTTATGGATCTTCAGGCTGGAGTTGGTGTCTAAGTGTTCTCAAATGATTTCTGGAGAATATAATCGGTGAGAGTGAATGTGTATCGAACTGCCTTGGTTCATCCTATGAAGTTTCGATTGAATTGATGACCCCAAAATACCTTTCTCATCACATGTCGTGGATAAGAACCGTCATCATGTATGGACTACAGCTGGGAGAGATCGTGACAGTTTGGGGTTTGATACTCAGACTAAGATGTAAATGAATGGCTTATTCCGCTACGTCGAACACTTGCGCCGGCTAGCAGATGTCAATGTGAGTCTAACATGTGGCGACGTTGCGATCTATGAGGCAGTGCAACTGCATCTGTAAGGTACTACGGTAGGTAGTTCGCGCCTTTGGTACAATACCGAGCTTTTGGTTCCGTGCTGACACCTGTCGGCACCCCCCTGGTTGATGATCTGAACTGTGCTGGGGTGCTTATCGCCATACTGCACTCAATGGATGAGTGAGTATTTCGGATTTATTCAGAAATAATATCTTCGAGGATCGATATGAGTAGTCTCACTGATGCCACTAACACTTCAGGTATAGCCGAAGAGCTTGACGGGGTGCCCGCTTAGGGTTGTGTATTGTGGACGGCGGCGCAGTATTGCATAGTAAGTACCTCTCACACACCGGCGTGAACTTTCTTTTTGCAAATCTGGAACGGGATGAGGAGCTAGAACAACCTTCAAGTGGTGTCTCGAATCTAAGCGACACTAAGTACCTGCTGTTGAACACACGGATCTATTCAAGAATTGATCATGTGCGATATTAGCGCCCACCACTGTTCAGCCTCGGATGGCCAGATGGGACGACCATTCTCTAGATCCTGGGGCTGCGCTGCCCCTTTGTCCTCGGAAGTGTCAGAATGGTTCAACCTGGGACTTGTTGAGATCTGAAAATTGCCTCCCTTCCCCACCACACAGAAACAGGGGAAGAGGGGCCGATGCCAGACAGCGCGACTTGGGCTCCCTTCGTTTGACTTGGCCACATCAAGGTTTGACTTGGAGGATAGTAGGCCTCTGACCTGCCAGGAAATGGCCGGCCGGAAGCCTCCTCCCAAGCGACGGGATTTCCAGGCCTGGGCGTGATCCATGCATGCCTGCAAGGGCTTTCCCTTCTGGTTGGACACCAGATTAGATTCGGCAACTCGCGACAACGGATTGATGATGGGATGTTATGCTTCGCATTACACGTCATGGGCCAATGCTTACTGATGTGTAAGATGGTCGCGGACCCATGTCTCTACGACAGACACTGCGTGGGTTTAACGCACCATGATGCGCTGAAACTCCCAGCCAACAGCACCGACAGATGCACCTGCCCGGTACCTACCTTAGACTTTGTGGGCGAGCGCCACGCATGTTCAGCCCCTGGGCTTGTCCCTTTTGAGCACATATTCGCACCCAATGGATTATGCGCCTCAAACGCCGAGTCTTGCTCTGATTGAACGGCTCGGAGGAAGAGTACGCAAAGTGTCCACAAGGTTTGACGTAGACATCCTCCGGGCTGGTATGTCTCATCCACTGTTGGTGGGCCGGCATTCCCACGACGAAGCCAGGGACGAAGAGGAGATCATCGTCCGTCCTCGTATTTCTGGTCTCCAAGAGCCCTACCATGCTAGCAAGGCTGGGCGCTGGACCAGCCGTGGAGCATGACATAACGGCATGACCTTGGTAGAAACCACCTACATGCCGTGAAGCCACCCCTTTACAGAAGACCTAATCAGACGCACACTGGAGTAAGCACACCAGCTCGTATAGAAGTAGGGCCACAGGGGACATATGGGGCTAGATTAGCATGGGCGTATCAAAAATAGCTGTTCCCTGTTCCAGTGGCTTCTTCCTCGCAACGGGGCCATCCGATACCCAATCAACCGGCGCTATTGGTGATGCGGTGGGGAGCTGGTGGGGAACGTTGGCTTCCAACGGCGGTTCAGCGTTCCCCGTTTGAATTTTTTTGGCCAATTCTCAGCAAGTGCCACAGCACTCTATCACCTGAACGGAGCGCTATTGTGATTCTATCTACCGGTACCTTGTGAGACAAAGAGATACAAAGAAACCCGGCCGCTCCAGTCCAGCCGCCAATGTTCTCTGAGGTACCACGTCATCCCGGATAGTTTGCATTCATCCCATCAAATCTGATCCCTTGACCCCGGCTCCTTCTTAACCATCCCCATCCCCTTCAACCCTTACATAGGCCGCCTCAACCTTTACGAACTCGACCTATCGGGGTGTGTATACTTTCCCTAGCAATCTTTTCCTTTTCTTTTCCCCCTCCGACCTGGTCTTCTATCTCCTTGTCTTTTCTTCCCGGCGCTCCTTGGTCTCCCTCTCTTACACGAGACCAACGGCATCACGTCGCTACACTAGGCTTCATTCTCCGGCTCGAGTGGGTTGTTAAGGCAGGGGAAATATCGACTCGATTGCCATCATACTCCTGCGCTGGGCCTCCCGTTACACCCACCAACGGCGCCCTCTGTCACTCGTTTACCTCCGACTCTCTCGACATACCTGCCATCACAAGCACCTCTCCGATCTTGTATATATCAGCATCCTAGATATTTATCTTACCAAGGGGAGACACATCCAAACCCGCTTTCTGCGGCCTCGGCCGATCACACATGGCAATGATGGATCCCAATTATGATCTCGGACTGGGAGCCCGTGTGAACGGCGATATTTCAGACTTTGTGAATCTATTGAAGAATCCCTTTCGCCAACAAGTACGTTGACGGCCATCCCACTGGTCTTGTTCCGTATACCCTCTAATATTGACTCTTCTTTCCTCACTAGGCAAAATCTACCTCGATTTGGGCTGCTTTGGGCGTATCGGTTGGCTTCACGGTCTTGACCACCATTTTCTTTTCAGTCCTCCGACCTCATCACCAGTCCCTATATGCGCCAAGATTGAAACACGCCGACGAGAAACATGCGCCTCCTCCGATCGGCAAACAACCATGGGCGTGGGTCACGCCGTTGTGGAAGACCAACGAAGCGAATCTCGTGAGCCAAATTGGCATGGACGCAACCATCTTCTTGCGATTCGTCCGCATGTGCCGCAACATCTTTCTGGTCCTGATGATCATTGGCATTTGTATCCTCGCCCCAATCCATTGGACTCAATCGGAAGCTGCAAAAGAGGCTGGAGAAGACGGAGACAGTTGGCCCCTCAAGTTAACACCTCTGAAAACCAAAGGCAGTTTCATTTGGTCGCAGGTAGTGGTCGCATACCTTTTTAACTTCACGATCGCCTTTTTCCTCTGGTTCAACTACAAAAAGGTTGTGGCGCTACGAAGAGCCTATTTTGAGAGCGATGAATACCAAAACAGCCTTCACGCCCGAACCCTCATGGTGAGAACATAAATCAATGCAACCCGGTCCGCGCGACCCAATTCCAGCTAACATATGCCTTTCCCCCTTTAGCTTTTCGATATTCCAAAGCAAGGCACCTCTGACGAGGGAATTGCACGAATCATTGACCAAGTCGCTCCTAACTCATCTTTCGCTAGAACTGTGGTTGCGCGAAACGTCAAGGATCTCCCAGACCTCATCTCTCAGCATGAACACGCGGTTAGGAAACTGGAGAAGGTTCTTGCGAAGTACTTGAAGAATCCCAACCAACTACCTCCTGGCCGACCAACCTGCAACCCTTCCAAAAAGGATCGTGCTAGAGACACTTATGTGAAGGGCCAAAAATTGGATGCTATCGAATACTACACCCAGCGTATTCGTCAACTTGAGCTGCAAATTCAATCCGTTAGATCAAGTGTGGACAGACGCAGCACTCAGCCATATGGTTTCGCTAGTTACGCAGAGATCAGCGAGGCCCACAACATCGCATATCTTTGCCGCAACAAGAAGCCTCATGGCACAACTATCAAGCTGGCTCCGCGACCGAATGACCTCATCTGGAAGAATATGCCCTTGACCCCGGCCGCGAGAAGCCGAAGCAAATGGTTCAACGGCTTCTGGATTCTCTTATTAACGATCCTTTGGATTGTTCCCAACGCCCTGATTGCTATTTTCCTCGTGGATTTGAGTAATTTGGCTACGTTTTGGAAAGGGTTTGGAGAGTCCTATAACGGCAACCCCAAGGTTTGGGGTGTTGTTCAGGGTATCCTCTCTCCTGCCATCATGTCTCTGGTTTATCTCGTATTGCCTATGCTCTTCCGTCGGCTTCAAATCAGGGCTGGTGACAAAACCAAAACGGGACGTGACAGGCACGTTCTGGGCAAGCTGTTTGCCTTCTTTGTGTTCAACAACCTCGTCGTCTTCACGATCTTCAGCGTTATCTGGTCATTCATAGATGGTGTTATCGCACTCGTGGATGAGTACGATTTAGACGCATGGACAGCTATCGTACGAGCCGACCTCGCCATGAGTATCCTTACCTCGCTCTGCACAAACAGTGCCTTTTGGGTGACCTATCTGCTGCAACGACAACTTGGCGCTGCCATCGATCTGGCTCAATTGTGGCCTCTTGCGGAGGCTTTCTTCCTGAAGAAGTTTTCGAGCCCGACACCCCGAGAATTGATCGAGCTGACCGCGCCGCCACCTTTCGATTACTCCAGCTACTACAACTATTTCCTGTTTTACGCTGCAGTGACTCTCTGTTATAGTGGCATCCAACCGCTTGTACTTCCCGCCACAGCTTTGTACTTCTCGATCGACTATTGGCTGAAGAAGTATTTGCTGCTCTACCGCTTTGTGACAAAGACAGAATCTGGCGGCCTTTTCTGGCGTGTCCTCTTCAACAGATTCATCTTCAGCGCTATCCTAGCCAACCTTGTCGTTCTGTTGACCACTTGGTGCCAAAGTGGTGGTGAATGGATGAATCGCATTCCCTTCTGGACATCGATTCCCCTTCCGCTTTTCATGATAGGTTTCAAAATCTACTGTGCGAAAACTTTTGATATCAAGCTCCAGTTTTACAGTACTACCGTCACTCACAGGCATCCGGAAAGTGGGATGCAGAAAGAGGATCGTCAGCGTGGTGAAAGACTGGCAAGCCGTTTTGGCCATCCGGCTCTCTACAAGAAACTTATCACGCCCATGGTTCATCAGAGGGCGCAAAATCTTCTGCCTGCTGTCTACACCGGCCGGCTAACGGACGGTCGCGATGGAGGAGCGGATGACCTGGCAACTATCAGTGGCTATTCAGATATGTTTGCATTAAGTAACATGCAGGGTGGAAAGCCCGGCAAGGCCGCTGGGGGCATTCCAGGTTTCGAGTATGTGTCAGATAACCACATGGACTTCGAGTTTTTTAAGAACCGAGCAGAGTTTGGTGAAGATCACGGCGGAGGTGAGATCTATGGCCGACAAGGAGATATCATGCGCCCCGGCACACCCGGGTCCATGGGCGAGGGTAGTGACGCAGGATCGAGATCACAGAGTCCGAGTGCTGGGCCACGGACGGCTCGTCGTTCTGTAGGAAATGCCCTCGATACCAGTTACCAGGCGTACCGACCTGACCAAGGCGACGTTGGTATTGGACGAAACCATAGCCCTCTCTATACGCAGGACAATGGCAGTCTGACTGGGCTGGTTAGCAACGCAGCAGCTCCCCCAACAGGAGGTTTTGACCAATACTCTTACCGCCATGGGTCAATGGACAGGAGTACCCCTACACCTTCAGTTACACCGGGCGGCCGGGTGATGCCTTCGCGCACACAGAGCCCTGGGCCTTCAGTTGGCGCGTTGGGAGGCGGGCCGCACGGCTACAGTGGTCTTGCACAGACGGAGTTCTCAGACCATGACAATGGCGACGCACCTCAGTACGACTATTTCCGTGGCGGCAAAGGGAGGAAACCCCCGGGGCAGGGTTGGTGAATGTAGCCAGTAAAGCAGCGTGATGATTATTTGTCGATAGATGCCGTTAATGATGGGTCAGTCTACATTCGTGTGACACCATATTTTTCACTACCTTAGATGTCGGGTTTATTTCTTTTTCTTAGCAAGCGGGGCATGGCGTTCATAATAGACCTGGAGACACATTCTTCCTCTAGCGGCTTGAATATATAGATAGGTCTCGGACTGTGTTATCTACCCTCCACACACATATACAGGTACATCACTTTACATCTTGCCTTTGCTCTTGTATAATGGTAAAATGACACGGTAGCGAATTTCGTCTCTTAAAGAAATGCCAATGCTATCTATATATATTATGATTTTTCATAAAGCCTCCCTGACGTACAGATCCCATCCACAAATCGCGTCAAATCTTGTGCTAACCCCATAACCAGGGGCTCGTCGACGATGTCTTGCTGCCAAGAAAGAGTAACAGTGAGGCCGTGCTTCTCTATGCTGATGACGCTGAGCGCTATTCCAGCACCGGCGACCATGGCGCCAATCGAGAACATCCCACGGGTCGGCTCCCAGCCACCGTCCGAGTCCGCGCAGCGCATAACACCAATGTTGGAAACTTCCCAAGTGGCCGCTCTCGGTTTCCCATCCAAGCCGCGAAAATACTCACTGAAATCCGGAATCAAGTGCAAAAGCCCTGCTACGTCGTCAGAGGGAAGAGTGGAAACTCGCTGATCCAAGAGCCTCTTGGTCTCCTTGGCCGCTTGCCAGATGACCTCGTCTCGGTCAGCATGAGGCGACCGGAGAGCGGCGACCACGCTCGCTGGGAAGGGGGTGTCGAGACCGGTTACGAGGGAGCGCATCTTGGTCTTGAGCTCTTCCTTCACCGTGGAGGAGATCCACGGGCGGAGGTTGATGGGCGTCATGGACACGAAGCTTTCTGCGTCCTCGGGGTCGAGGCGGGTGGCAAGCGAGGCCAACGCCATGGCGTGGAGGAGGGCCGTGAGGGAGGACGAGTGGTCTCTGGATGCCTTGATGAGAGTTTGAAGGGATTCGGGGGAGAAATGGAGAGGGTGGACCCGCGTGATGTATGGAAGGGCAAAATCAACGGGGCGGAAAGTCCATGGTATAGGGGCCTTGGATTTGAGCAAAGAAGGAGCTAGATAGTCCCAAGTCGCTTTAAGCATGAACGGCCAGCTCCTGGTGAACGGGATAGCCTCCTCTTGGGTCTCGGGTAGTTCAGCCTTGCCGGGAAAGGACAGTGTGTACTGAGGCTCGAGCGGAATATCACCGTGATCCTGGGCATTCAGGGCGGCTGCAAGTTGTTGATGAAAGTCCTTCCCGCCGGTCCCATCAGCCAGGGAGTGATGGTAGGCAAATAAAATATCAATCACGGGCTTTTGGAAGAGTTCATTGCTTTCCGGTTGTAGGGCAAGGACCTTCCAAGGAGCCTTGGACTCAATATTCGGCCATAGTTGATCGTGTAGCCAGCCGTGGGTTTCCGAAACCTTGGCTTCGTACTCCTCCGCCGTCGCGTGCTTCTGGGAACGAAGCTCAAAATGGTCGCGGAGGTTAATCTCTGGCAAGTGGACGAAAGCGGGCTGAGTAGTTTCTTGCCCGATGATCCCGACCTGTAGCATAGGCTGTCCCCCAACCACCGAGGCCAAGGCTGCGACGAGGGCCGCCCTGGTGTTTTCCAGACCATACGGGATCACGTATCGCACCGACACAACAACACAGCGATACACTCCCAGATGATGACGGGCTGAGGAAAATTGCTCCCTATCGGGCAGGATCTTGTGATTAGATCTTCTGCTTGCTTGCCAGCTTGGAGAATGAACACTTTGTATTGGTCTACTTACCACGGGCCTAGAGGCCGTAGGATCCTGGGTTCTGATTCTTCCATGATCGGCTCTGGCCAGGCATTCGTATTGAAATACTGCAGAAACCAAGTGTCTACATCACTCTGCACTCTCCTCCCTCCTGCACATTGTAATCGGCGTGGTGAGAGACATTGCTTGGTCAGCTCAGCTGGCCACAGGATGCAGATGTCCAACCTCCTGCTCGGCGAGCCAGACACGGACAAGTGCCCTTGGCAAGGTAACGGTTGGGGAAACGGTACTGTAACGGTACCCCAACGGCAGAGCTGGGCTGGAGCTCGGCTAATCCGCGGCCAGATCTCACCGCCTGGACAGCTCTGCCAGCACTCCGCACTAGCAGGGAAGGTACCTCGCGGTCCGTGTGGGCCCACAGTGTGGCTGGAAGCGCTGCAGGCTGGGAGGTACCTCGCAAGCGCCATGTACCTGGTGGTCAGAGCTCCCAAGTACCTCGAACTTTGGCTAGCGCCTGGGGGGCGGGCAAACCAAACAATGGACATTAGGTTGGTTGTTCCTTCCCTTCTGCATGGGGCATCAAAATACTGGATCGCCTCGACCTCACCACACGCGACGACGACCAGCCCCCGCCACCTCCAAATTTTGCAATTCCTGGTGGTTTGCGCCGTCAAGTGGGCAAGGCGCGCAACTCCCTGTCCGGCTGCGACTTCGCCAACCCACCTCTCAGCTGCCAGTGAGCCTCCTCCTTTGACACCTTCCAGCTTTGCGCAGATGCTATGACGCGACAACCCCCTCGAACTCTGCCTGCAAGGAAAATGCTTCGAGATATCCTCGCCTGATAGTTCATCGATCCCTTCGTCTACCGCCTGCAGCTAGCTCAGATCGGTATGGTGGCCATGGATCAAGGCGCCAACTCTCATTCCTCACCGCGTCCTGGCGGTCGACCAGCAAGCAAGCTGGTAGTCAAGGAAGAAGGCAGAAGGCCTCTCTTTTCCACCGGCAATGTCTCCCAGGCTGAGAGCATAGTGAAGAATACCGAGAAGAAGCCGACCCAGCCCAAGGACGGTGCTCGCGCAAGCACCACTCCACGCTCCGCCGCCCGACGCACCAATTCTGAATCCCTCATCTCTCGTGCTGGCAACAGTTTGCCCCCTCCCAGCCCCAGCAGTACACGCATTCCCCGCCCTGGAAGCGTCGGAGGCTCTGGCGGACTTTCCAACCGCCGGCCTATTACACTCTCCGAAGCCTTTAGGTTGGCCGAGGAAGAGGAAGTACACACTGGGAAGCCGGGCAATGATGACATGCGAGCACAGCCCATTGACGGGTCACCGAGTCCAGCACCCAGACCATGGCGGGCATCGCGAGATTTTGACAATACAAGGCTGAGATCACTACTCGAGCACGACCATCTTGACACCAAGGGAGCCAACAGACAAATAAAATCAAACGAGCAGGCAAAGAACAATAAAGCACCTGCTGCCAGACCTTCTAAGGGTCCCAGCTCAGCGAACACCGGGACAAATGGCGGTGGGATCTCTCTCCCCGATCTAGTTCCTGGTATCGAAGACCTTCCTTTGCCCTCGGTGGAACCTGCCGAAAACGTGCCCGCTCCTGCCTCTCCGGAGAAGAGTTTCGCATGGCAAGTCGATGAAGATTTTACCGCAGGCGATCTCCAGGTCTCAGACAGTCCCAGACTTAAGACGGACAGGCGACCATTTGAGAACCGGCTACCCTTTGACGAGAACAGCTTAGTCGACATCAATTCCCGGACAAGAGTCAACAACCCAGGGTCCAAGAACACCAGGCTTGACGAGATCCGATCTCGAGAAGTAAAGACGGGAAACCACCTTCCCATAGGCCCACGCTCATTGAAGTCAACAAACACTAAGATTGATGAAATCATCGCACGGGAAGCCGAGGTCGAGTCTCAGATACCAATCCCGGATAGGCGCCTTTCTTCGGCAAGCAAAAATACCAAGCTGGATGAGATTCGACAGAGAGAGCTGGATGGCTTGTCCAAGAGACGGCTGGCAGCTGCCCGTTTAGAGGAGATTAGGGAGAAGAACTCAATGTCTCGACAGAAATCGTCTGAGGAGACGCGGTCACAATCAGACCAGCAAAGTGATGGTCCATCAAGCGTTGACGGGTCCGAGACCAAGCCTGACGCCTCGGAGAAGAGACGAGCCGGGACAAAAGATAGTCCACCCAAAGATACCTATGGTGGTGGGGAGCGAATTCCTGACACTCCAGTGACTGTATACAAGTCCCGGCCTGAACGGGCGGGAGATCAGGTTCAGAACAAAGGAGACCAAGCAAATCAGCAAAGCGATACTAAGAAAGCTGCTAAGAGCACGCCTTTATCTCGACGTCGAGCCGATTCAAAAGACTTGCTGAGCAGGCTAGCAAGGGCTACAAGTTCCAGTCCACTCCTTAACACGGAAACGAAGAAGGCGCCCTCGCACCGGGCAAGTGATAAAGTCTCTACGTCGGCAGGGCCCTCTACTACTGGTCGGAGTTCTAGAACCCTCCTAGGTGCTGTTGCTGGGCGAAGGAAAAAGGCCAGCAATGATGGGGAGTCCAAGCCCTCGGAGAGACCTACCGTAGAGTTCGCAGGCCTGCGGCGTGTGCGTTCGACTGAATCGTCTGGAAGTAAGAGATTCAGTACGCATTCAGAGACAGATCCTACAGATCGCATTGAGGCAGAGATGAAACTATTCGCACCCCATGATAATCACTCTGAGAGAGGGTCGGTACGGGCCCCATCTCCGGCCTCCTCAGACGGCCACATCATTAAGAAAGAAGTGGTCGGGGATGAAGAGATGACGCCTAGGAAAAACAACGCCGATCCCTTGACGATGCCAACGCCAAGAGTGACGGGTGCATATGTTGAGACTCCTGCGACAGTGAAGGTAGAAAAAATTCAAGATCCGGTTCCGCCTCAGGAGGTAGCTCTGCCTCAAGCTGATCGCGAGCAAGCAAAAGAAGCTGGAAGAGTAGGGCGTGCATTGGGTACCCACACTGCAGGCATTAGGAGACAAGCCCGTGACACGTCATCGGACCCTGGGGTCGGTGAGAGTGAAGGAAGAACCAGAGCACGCTCGACGTCTGTGACACAGAAACGGGCACGTTCACTTTCGCGGTCCAGGCCGCCATTAAAGAACTCTGCCAAACCACCATCAGTGTACGACGATATCATAGAATTGCTGCGTACACAAAAACTTGATGACTCGACCCTTGATGAGCTGGAAGCTGTCATCAATCAGCCACTTGGGATTCTCGAGCGAATGAGCTTGGTAGACGATCTGCCTGCACCCAAAGACTCGCAAGATGATGATTCATTTGAACTCAAAATGGAAACCTATCTCGCGGATATGGAAAAGAAAGGGCTTACAGAAGACTTGAAGAACGAGAAGGTAGATGAGGAGGTAGACGAAGGAGAACTGGCGGCATATGATCGCATGAGCAGGTCTCTCCAGACAGGGCTTCAAGGCATCCGCACGGCCAAGAAGGGGATCGAGCGACTCGAGGACAGTCTCAGGGATGGCGAACGTTTCTACGCCGAGTCCCAAGCAAAGCTCGCAGCGGTGGAAGAGGCTGAGAAGCACCGCTCCAAACACCAAGAACAGGACCACCGTCAAGAACAGGGTCACCAACAAGAACTCGATGAGAAACATGCTGATTCATCGAGCGTTGGTTACGTTAAGCTCCCTGTTCCACGCCTGTATACTCTCAGGCCTCGTTTCCAGCTAACAATACTGGGTCTCTTCGCCATGCTGTTGTCACTTTGGTCGGTTGCCGAAACTGGCATGTGCGCCAAGTACTGTATTCCCGTCTCCTGCTCAACGACACCCTGTGTCTGGTCCTACGACGATCCAACGTTTGGCAAGGCTCTGCCGATCAAACTAGATCAATGGGCCACTGGCGGCGTCGGGCGTGTGGCTTTTGGTAATGCACGTCAGACGGTTGAGGATTGGTTGGCCGATGTGACCGACAGCGTTTACGGGCGAGATATCAAGGACATTGACATCAGCAAGCTATCTTTTGAAGGGAGGCGCGCCCACCGCCGTCGTCTGAGGAACAAGGGGCTGCTGAATGATGAAGCGAGGCAAGTGGAAAAGGCTGCAACGCCGGAGATACGCGAAAGATGGGCTTCATGGAGGCGTGAGCGGATCAACAGGGAGAAGGCACGAGAGGCCAGGTCCATGGGCTACGATCAAGACGAGGATGATTCAATGGGAGGGGATCAGAGAATTGGCTAGTCAGCAAACAATGATCCCCTCTGATACTGGGGCACAGATGTCCGTAATGCCACTAATGACCACTGACTTGCCCAGGAAGCATCTACTTATGACCGGCGTTGGAGCAAATTTTGGAAGGGAGCATCTTTTTCGTGTAAATATTTAAAAAAAAAAAAGACTACTAGTCATACGTGAAACCATGCTATGGGTATGGTATTCTATATATATTGAGATTTTTGCCCCTATTCCATTAAGAGATACTATCCCATGCTTGGGGAGAAGCCATCCGCAATAGACCGTGAACTCAAACCTTGGGGGTCCTCGTGATATAATGAATCCCTTTCCAACAAACCCGTCAAATGCAACCCGGAACTTCAAAACGGAATGTGAATTTGAATATACTTTTTCCAGCCCTGGATTGTCCTGCAGAATAACGCCGAGCTCCTGTACCGCCATCTTTTACTCCTCAATTCCTCCCCATTCCTCGTCGTCGTCATCCGCCTCCTCTGCATCGCTCATATCCTCATCCTTGGTAGCCCAAGGTAGCCTCCCATCCTGATAGCTCTCCTTCGCCCTTTCCCGGACAGCCTTGACCGGGCACGTCTGCAGCTCCAGGACCATATCCCCAATCTTCTTCACAAGATCCTTGGCCTCCTCGTTCTCGAGGCACTTTGTGCTTTCCAGCTCGTCAACCCACAGATCGAGGACGTGGAGCCTCAAGCCCAGAGGCATCTTCCTCAGGTCGCCCGTCCCCTCAAAGGGCCACTCCCTCAGCACGTCCACCACGGCGCCGCTCTCCCGCGCGCACTCGAGCATCACGGCGAAGGCCCGGCGCACGAGGAGCAGGAACTTGTCCATGCGCAGGGCCTCGGTGTGCGGCCACCGCTCGGACAGGACCTGCCAGAAGCCGACGAACCATGCCGTCTTAGACTCCTCGCGCGGGAGGGAGTGTACGAGGCGGGCCAGGTCGCTGGCAAGCCGCTGCTGGGGCGCGGGGCGGTCGGTCATCCAGAGGGCGTAGTAGAGGCCCTTCCATAGCTTGACGGCGTCCTGGGTGGAGAGGGAGGTGCGGGTGGAGAGGAAGAGCTTGAGGGAGTCTAGAGAGGCGGTTCGGAGTTTTCGATCTAGATTTTGGGAGACCGGGAGTGTCAGCATACGATACTTGAGAAGGCGCCTACGAATTCGGGGACAGAAAAGACGAGCTTGGTCGGCAAGAGTGTTTCGTCTCTGGGGGCGCGACTAACCACTGGAAGCCAAGTTCCGAATGAATGGCATTTGCGCCTCGTCTGCGGCGGCCATTTTGAACGGGTTGAGATTGCGGATTGGGGAGGAGGATATTAGGCAGATCACAGATTTATACGATGATTGAATTGAATAGGCAGGAATTACAGCCAGGCCAAGAGCACTCAGGTTTGATCGTTGAGGCTCTGGAACTGCTCGCAGTATTTTTTGAGAAGAAATATATTTATTCTGCCGCAAAACGATGATACAAATTGGGTGGGGGGAGGAATGGATCCGGGATAGGTAAGCGGTGTGGGTGCAATTTCGCTGTAGAACCTCCAGCGTTGAATTTCAACATGATATGAAAACAATTAACCCAGAAATGAACACAATATTGAGCTAAATTTCATAGAATAATTTATCCCTTTTTTTTAATATCATATTTAGTATTATCAACAAGAAGCCAAGGTCCCTGCCTTGCGTGAAAAGAGCCTTAGTGAGCCATGTTTTATTCCAGCCACTTGGCACCAAACGACATGGCCAGGCCTGGTACATACATACATATGTACGTAGCCGAGCAAGACCTGAGTCATTGGCTCGTATCAAACAAGCTGAGATCGTGTGATAAGCCTGTAGCGTCTCTTACCTACCACCGCTTCCTGGGGAGCTCCCGCCGTGATAGAGTTTTCCAGAGCTGACTCACTGCCGATGTTGGCCGACTGGGCAGATGATTGGATGGCACCGCTGCCCTGTGCCTAGCAGGCCGCAACAACACCCCACCATCGTCATAGCAAGAGCTCTTCTCCCGCCCACTTCCACCACACCACCGCGCCCATCTTGCCCGTCCCGCCTCGCTCCTCTGCCATCAATCAAGCCCATCCCCGTCTCTCTGAGAGAGACCACCCTACCAGGCAAAACCGCAGCGCAGTGAGAGAGCCGACGCCATGTCTACCAAGCGCATTTCCAAGGTTCGTCGCCCAAGTGCACGCATGTAATCCATCCCTCCTCCACCCACCACCACCCCCCGCCGTGTACAATCACTCAACGAGGCTGGGCGCCTTGGCTAACTTCGTTCCTGTCTCTGACCAAACACAGGAGTACGCCGAGCTCTCCCAGGCGCCCCCAGAGGGCTACACCGTCGCCCTGCCCCCCTCCGAGTCCCTGCACACCTGGCACATCACCCTCCGCCCGCCGCCCGGCACGCCCTTCCACCCGGGCGTCTTCGGCATCCTCATGACCCTGCCGACCGACTACCCCTTCAAGCCCCCCGTCGTCAAGTTCGTCACCCGCACGTACCACCCCAACATCACAAACGACAGCCTCGGCAACGTCTGCCTCGCCATCCTCAAGCCCGAGAACTGGAAGCCCAGCACCAAGATCGCCGCCGTCCTCGAGGCCGTGAGGAACCTCATGATCGAGCCCCAGCCCGACGACCCCCTCGAGGAGCGCGTCGCGGACGAGTACAGGAACGAGCGGCCCGAGTGGGAGAAGAAGGTCAAGTACCATGTTGAGAAGTACGCCATGGATCCGCCCGTGTTCCCAGCCGGGCCCTAAAGCGGCGCTCGTGTGTTTTCAACCTACTCTATAAAAGGAGGGAGAAGAAGGTATCCTACCCAGGTGGTAGGCCAGACTTGGACCTATGGGGGGAGGTCCTTGAGTGGGAGGGGGGATAACATCGAGGAGATGAGAAACAAAGAAGCTGGCGCGGTTTTGAACACGCATCCTCCTTCGAGGACTGGATACAACGAGAGAACACAGCCTCGAGATGTTGAACATCCTTAATTCTGTCTAATTCCTGTCCATCTACCACAGCTCTCCGAGGTCAGGATTGCTTCCTCATGTCGTCTCTTAAGGGAGAGAGCTCTTAGCTACACAGTTATTATTCGTTCACATAGCATGTCCGTACTCAGGGCACTTTCATTAAGATTTCAAATGAGTTCATGACCCCAAAAGCATTTCATTGCACACATAAACACTCCTGTGAGGTATCTGGATTCTGAATGCTGTTTTGCATGACCCTCGTCTACTCGCTCTCTATATTTAGGTTTGTGTATAAGCTCGCTTTTTTTTCCCCGTGGTACGCCTCGCCGACTGTACATCTCTACTAACAACTTCCCCAATCACCAAACATGGCCGTGTCCATCCTTCTTCGTGGGTATATACAGCCATCATCATCATCAGAGCAAAGAGAAAAAAACCATTCGGAAACCGCGTTTTGCGGCCCGTCTGTCTGTCCTGAAACGTGGGATATCAATCGAAGGTATGGGTGGCACTGACAAAGAAAATAGAAGGATTGGAAAAAGACAATTATCGCCATGCCATAGGAAGAGAAAAGAAAAGAAAAAGAGCCCATAGGCTGGCCTGTGGGCAAATATATATGCAAAGAAAATGTGTGAGAAGAAAGACCGCTCGCCTTCCCATGCAACGCCAAACCATGATAGAATCACATTCAGCACCAGAAACGAGACAGCGACATGCTGTGCTTGCATCGCAGCGCTTGCCAGCGGGCGTTCTACACCCTGCCAGGCCTTGTACCTGAAACATCTCTCTTTCTCCTGCCAAAGAGCGTACCCTTGCGCCTAACTTCAGAATCCGCATCCGTCACATTTCCACTCGGTGGAAGTGTTTGACTGCGGCCACTCTGCTTATCCTTATCCATCTGTGCCTGATCACGCCGCTCCTGGCGACGCTCGTCAATGGCTACCTGGCTGAGGTGGCTGAACCCATTGCGACGTTTGAAACAAGCGTCGATGAGGCCATTTGCGTCGAGCATGCTTCGAGGCATAGCCTGCACAACCCCAAACATCTCCATTGGATCCGCCACGGCCAAAATCTCTGATTCTCCGGTTTTAAAGATGGCCAGGGCAGTTCGAAACAGCGTCTTGGATCCTTCATAGAAGAAGATGTCCCAAACCCGCAATGTTGTCTCAATGGGGAGGGTTCCGATGAAGCAACTCATAAACCACGCAGTCATGCAGAGTGTAATAGGCGGCAATCGTTCTGTCGGAAGGGTATCCGTCTGCTTCCTCCTGAACCTTGTCCTAGGCTTGCGGAAGGAGCGGCCAGTTGACGGTCGAGTCTGAGGTTCGGCTTCCAGATCACCTCCAATCTTATCCCATACAGCAGGCATTGTATCGCGAATCTCTGTCATTAACACGCCGAGGTCTACCTTGGAACCCTCCAGGCTGATTTCGTGCGTGCCTGGAAGATAAATGTGAGTGATGACGTTGAGCAGCCAGAAGCACTGTTCCTCTGTCTCAACAAAGAGCAGGAGAAGACCAGCGAGGAAGTTCAAGCTCTGACAATAGCCGATATGAGGATTGTAGATGGAAAACGCGAAGAGGACACGACGCAGAGACGCTATGATGGGCTGTTCCTTGTTTTTCGATGGTCTTTCAGTGTTGTCACTATCCGGGGCCTGGGGAGGCTTGAAATTGATATTGTCGGGGAAGGTGCGGTGCAGATCTCGTTCAATCGCCTCGACATCCACACGTTTAGCTTTCATGTCAAGCATCTTCCCGTATAGGCCCGAGTGCTTAGCAAGGATAGCCGGGCCACCTGCGTAGTAGAACCACGCAGCTCCTCTCCACTCGGGAGGGATGCCTTTTCGAACAAACTTCTTAGTTTTAGCGTTCGTTGGAGGAAAGCGGTTGGGATTTTCTGTCATGAGGGAATGCTCCTTCAGGTATGATTGCCATTTCTTCTTCCTTCGGGCAAGATACTCCGTATAGCCGGAATTCCAGTTGTCGTACTGCTTCATTGTGACGTATTGGTTCTCTTTTTTGAAGCCGTATCGATCACGAGAGTTGGGATCCTCTGGTTCGGCAGGTCCGGGAACATCAGGTGGCAGACAGCTCTCGGGGTAGCTGGGATCTCGAGGGGGCGGATCAGGACTGCTAGGACGACTGTCGTAGACGCTTGTCGGTGCTGGAGAGGGTGATGTGTCCCTGGAGGCAAAGTTGTTTGAGATGCCCAAGCCCCTATCATTTGGGTCGTCGCTAGTGACTGTAGGTTGCGAGGAATCTGAAGGGTCGGTGTCCAGAGACTTGGCGGAATCACGGTTCGTCTCATCAAAGCGATTTGAGGAATTCAGGTTCGAGGCCAAATGAGGAACCGAGGCCATGAAAGCTGGGCTGCTGAAGAACATCTTCGATTGCCGAATCTCAGCGTCGAGCCTCGTCTTGGCCAGCATGGGTGAATCAGGAGGGTCATCCAGGACTCTGCTATCGCCAAGGTCGGATTCGGGTTGAGGGAATGAGGAAGAGGGCCGAGGAGGAAAGTCTTCTTCTTCTTGATCGTCACCTGGTTCACTGTGTTCGTAAATATCGTCCTCAAACCCTTGTTCGTACATGCCCATAACATCTTCCAGGCTCGGTTCGTCAGGATCAACGAAAGCATCCGCGTTGTCACCGAAGGAGGTAGCAGAGCTGTTTTTAGTAAGGACACTACTTCGTTCGGTGTTGGCCGTGCCAGGGGCAGTTGAAGCCGTCAGCTGGGATCTGAAACTCGACCGTAGTTCCTCCCCGCCAGACCATGGCGCAGACCCACCCAGGATGGGCGCAGACCCAGAGCTGTCAGTGCGGCCGAAACCACCATACTGTGGCCGGGTTGCGGAAACTGGCGGAGGCCCAGCATTCTTTAATAAACGGGTCCCTGGAATGCGCGAGTCAGGAAACTCAGCCGTCGTAGGAGACATTCCAGGTGCCCAAGTGGACGCAGATACGTTTGAGCACATCGAAGGGCCCCTGGGACGCCACGGGGGAGCATAGTCCATCATCTCCGGGCCGTCCTCGGAGGGTGTGGGAAGAAGAGCAGGTCGAGATCTGCCCGGGGTGTCGGAAATGGGTTGCCGTATACTGTGTTTTCGGGGGCGGGAGAAATTTTCGAACGGCGCGATCAGGTCAGAACCACGCATGTCAGAGAAGGAGGATTTGGCTGTCAACGGGCGCGAGGGAGGCTCGCTTTGGGGTTCGCGGATTAGATTATGTGCATCAAATGCGGCCGGGGTTGTTGGCCGCGACCGCGGGCCATTACTATTACTATTCGAGGCGGGTCGTTGTAAGGCAGGACCGTTGCCA